TCAAACAGGCCACATTCCTACTGTGTGGTCCTGACTTCCCCCACTTTGTTCCAGGCCACAGCAGACAGGACCAGGATGAAGCCTCTGACCCAATCGGTCAGCTCTCTCAACTGGGAATTTGGAAATGAGATGTAGTGATCCTCATCAGCTGTTTTTCGGGCTGAGGATATTTATACTTGGGGGACCAACTTCTGTTGGGCATGCAATATCAGTGACATAAGCACGTGATAAAAATAGATCACAGAACAAGAAGAGAGAAAAGGATAGGGAGGAAGTAAGGGACAGAAGCTGGCTTGCTCTTGTTGGCTTCTAGTTCTTAGCTCCAGGTGCATTTGGGGTTCAGCTTCTGAAGTTCTATGTGAACACATACTTCAGATCCTATTTGGCTTAAAGCTAATTTGAATGAGTTTTGTTTAGTTTTAATTAATACAAAAGCTTTGACCAATACAAACTGAGCAAGGGCCTCTCTAGGGTTGAAATCCAGATTTCTTGTATCTGACGAGTGTTCTGTCTGGATTACTGGCCTGCATGTTTGCTGATTGCATACTACAGTAGAAGTGTATTCCTGCAGCCTCTCTGCTGAGTCTCTGATGGGGCTGGAAAAGCACAGGCCAGAGATTGTTACCTGAATATTTCTAATCTCTAGCCCTTTGTCCCGGATTGTTCCAGAATTAAGCATTCTACTGACACTGTGCATACCCTCACTCAGGATGGAATAGAAATTTGTGCTGGCAGGTCTGAAAAAGCCTTGAATCCTCATGTTCCTGGCTCCTGGGTGACAGCAGGGTCGATTTGGGGGAGATGTTACCCGAGAGGCCTTCGGTGATGAGGTAGATGGCTTATGCTTTCTTCAAGGGTCACTTTGAAATGATCAGGGACGAATCCAGATAGCTCCTTGCTTACTGCACTAAGCTGCCAGCTCATGTATTGTTGTTATGTGTCATTAGGGTAAGGGCAAGGTGATATCCTGACTGAGGCTAATTGTTTGGGGCAGGAGGGAAACAGGAGCAAAGCTGGGCTTCTGACCATGTAAACAGCTCCTGTGGCTCCTGCCGTGAAAAGCTGTTTTCCTTCAGGACAAGGCCAACTGCATGTACTTGGCAGGAATGAAAGCCACGTAGTGGTCCAGGCTTGATCTCTGCACGGGAGAGCTTCCTGCATAATTTGTAACTTTAGAACAGGCAGCCATAGACTGCTGAGCAGAAAGGAAGGCTAGCATATTCTTGTGAAGCAAAGAATAGAATTAGTGGGATAAAAGACACTCAGAAACACCTGACCATTCCCATGCTAATCAGAATAAAGTCCAAATGATATTGATTATATTTTAAATAGTTTCTTGGGGCCTAATTTGGCCAGGCTAAATTCAGGGGCTGGTTGTGATCTCTCAGAGGGCAGGAAAACTAGTTAACGTGAACAGTCATAGTCTATTTGTGATTGCTGTACTTTTTTAAAGAAAGCAATGCATTTTTTTTCTTAAAGAGAGTAGGTTCTATTTATAAGAACCAATGCATTTGTAGAGAAAGCCGGGACAGATTAATATTAAAGTGGATTAAATCTTTAAATTAATGGCACTTTCCCTTATCTATGTATCACCGTCTTATCCTCTCATGTAAAGTATATGTTTGGCTGGGCATGGTGGCATACACTTGTAATCCCAGCACTTGGGGGGCAGAGGCAGGAGGATCACTGTGGCTTTGAGGTCAGCTTGAGCTACATAGTGACTTCAAGGCCAGCCTGAACTAAACAATGAAAAACCAAAATTACCACATGCATAATACTGAAGTCAGTCATTCCTATTTGCAGATGATATGATCTTATATATGGAAAAAAACTGGTGACTCCAGTGTTTACACTGTGATATATGATAAATTCAATAAAGTTGCAAGATAAAATCAATGTACAAAAATTAGTTGTTTCAACACATCCATGATGAACTAGCTGAAAAAGAAATTAAGAAACCAATGCTACTTACAATAATTACAAATATAGCTGAGTAAATGTAAGCGGGGGATGAATCATCTCTCCAATGGAAACACTTGAAATATACAAAAACACTTGAAAAATACCAGTGAAGACACACACAAAAGTGGAATGTTTGTGAAGTGAAAAAATTAATATCACTAATATGTCCATATGAGGCAGAACAAGCTACAGATTCAAAATAATGTCTATACATTTTTTAATGGTATTCTTTGCAGAAATAAAAAAAAATAATACTATAATTCCATAGAATTACAAAAGATCCCAAGTAGCCAAAGCAATTCTAAGTGAAAAAACAAAAAACAAAAAAACCCCACAAATCTTGGAGTATCACTTGACTTCAAAAATACTACAAAGTTTTAGAAAACAAAACAATCTGCTACTGGCATAAAATAGACATACAGACCATTAGACCATTACAGAGAATGCAGAAGTAAATTCACCTAATTCCAGTCAATCAGTATTCAGCCAGGCATAAGGAAACTCACTGGAAAAAGGCCAACCTGAAAGTGGCACTGGAAAGTTGGGTAACCACACAAAAAGTCAAACTAGACACCTGTGTCTCACCTTATATGAGAATCAATTCGAAATGGGATTGAAGATAACAAGTTTCAGATTGAAAATTACAAGTTGCACGGAAGAAACAGATTAGAACATTGATATGGATAGAATTTTTGTGTATAAGACCCAAGCTGGTTGTGACAGTGCATACCTACAATCCAAGTATGTGAAGACTGAGGCAGGATTGTCATGAGTTTGAAGACAGCCTGGGCTAGCTATATAGTGAGCTCAAGGCCAACCTGAACTATGTGACAAGCCCTGTCTCATGAATATGTACAAGTATCATGTGTCAATTAGGATTTTTTAAAAAAAGACATACACATTTATTTTCACAGATGGACATAAACATAACCATAATAATAACGCCTTTATTAAAATAAATTCTCAAATGAATGAATCAAGAGTAAGATAAGAAGGAATTTAAAGGATATACCAGTTATCTATTCCTGTGTAACAAAGTACCTCAAACTAGACAACAACAATATATGGTTATTAGCTCATGGCCTGGGTGTCAAGAAACCCGACATTGCCTTAGTTGGATGCCTGTGGTTCAAGATTTGTCACAAGACTACAATCAAGATGTCAGTGAGGCCACTGCTACTGCAAAGGTCATCTAGGGTAAAGACCTGTCCTAAGTCCATGTACCAAGCTCATGGTGGGCTTTGAGAATGCTCTGTCAGGCAGACGTGTTAATCCCTTTCTCAAGGACCCCTTAGGGGAGATCACAGTGTGGCAGCTGGCTTCCCTCAGAGAAAGTGTGGGAGTGAGCAAGAAGCCAAGAGAGTGATAGAGGGCACAAGAAGGCGGCCACCTCACCCTAGAAACAGCTTCCCTGATTTCTTTTTTTTTTTTTTTTTTTAATTTTATGTATTTCGTATAGGGTCTCACTACACAGCTCACAGTTACAGTGATACTCTTGTCTCAGGCTCCCCAACGCTGGGATTACAGGCATGCACTAACACGCCCCAGGTGGCTGGCTCTGCATGTGGTGCTCAGGATTGAACCCTGGCCCCTGCATTTGCCTAAGCAGGCACTTAGTCCACTGAGCTATCTCCGTGGCCCAACTTCCCCGATTTCTATTTGCAACTTTTTCAATAAAAGAGACTACATAAGGTTTACATTCAAGAGCAAGAAAAAGTGGGGGCATGAATAGTAAGAGGAAGGAGTCTCTAGGGATCAGCTCCCAGCCACAAAGACCATTGGATTCAATTCTCCAAGGGGCTCGCTCCACTGCTTCACTGCTTGAATACCTCTTGTGTCGGCAGATTGGCCACTGTCATGGATGCTCTTATTCCACTTGTAGAAAACCTTCCTTAGATTGGGCCATCAAAACGTGTTCTTAGTGGCCACAGACTGTTGGCTTTTTCTAGCTTGCCTTTCCCTCCTGGTACTCCATGAAAGATTCACTTGTTGCCTAGTCTCATCCTGTTTCAGGGGTAAGCATGGGACTTACCCTTTTATAATCAGAAATTTTATTTTTTATTGGTCACAATAATTGGTCAAGAAATGGGTTTAGGGTTCACATGCCCTGAGATACCTTTTATTCTACTCCGTGAACCCTATTTCTCCATTTCCACCTCCTCCTGACCTTTCTGTGTTTCTTTCTTTTTCTTTTTCTTTTTTTGGATTTTACGGAAGGGGCTACAGGGTGTTTAGGATCTCACTACAGATCACACTTATAATGATCCACCTGTTTATAGTCTCCCAAGAGCTGGGATTACGGGTGTGTGCCACCATGCCCAGTCTCAATTATCATCTCAATGCACCCAGGGGTGGGGCTGGCATGGCAGGCCCAGGGATTAAACCCCAGCCCCTGCACCTGCTTGCAGGTGCTTTAATCCACTGAACTATTTGGCCAACTCTCTTTCTGTGTTTCTTTCTTTTTTTTTTTT